CGATCGCCATCTCTACGGGACGGCTTAGGTCCATCGGGACCGTCCGGGGGAGGAGATATCGGCTGCCATCCTGGGAGCCCAGGATCGCCCGCCGTATCGCCGCGACGCCAGCTCCGCCCTCCTCAGCTCTGTACAACTATTGATGTATGTGCTATGTCTTAATATATGAATTAACTGCTTGTAGAAGGACAGAAAGTAACAGTTCTTTTCCACAATAGAATGCAATAATTGTAGCAGAGATCTGGTTCAGTTGGCTGCTGTTTAAGCATCAGAGACTAATAATAATAACATAAGAATCTTGATAGTTTGGACCAGAGGTCTATACAGTCCAGCATTATTTCTATAGTGGCCATCTGATGCCAGCAAGATACTCACAAGGAAGACATTAGTGCAGTATATAATCAAGGAGTGGCTGAATCTCTGTAGTTCAGTTTTTCCAGATTTGAACTTTTTCTGACCTTAATGTATTCTATTCCAAGTTGTATCAATTTCAGTTTTTAAAAAGTCCAGACAGAGATTTGCTTGAATACCCTTGCATATTTCTATAATACACATTTTTGTGCATATTTTCCTTAATAAGCAAATTTTAGTCACATTTTTGAATTGTGAATTATATAATGGAGAAGAGTATAGTTAGTGATGCATATGCAAGTATAGTGCACAAGCACTGTACAAGTTCACATAAGTTCTTGTTAAAATACAAGCTTTCCAAATTTCTCCTATCGCTGTAAACATTCTCCACTCATGTCCCCAGCAACTGGCACTGAAAGACATACTGCTTTGATCCTGAAAGTAACACATAGCCATCATGACTAATAGTCATTTAGTCATATCTTGATTTTGTCTCATTTTTAAAGCCATCCAATTTGGTAGCCATCACTGTGTTATTCAACAAATTGAATAATTTTAACTGAGCTTACTAAAGGAAAACTTGATTGAGTATGTGCACTATTTTTAACATGCTTAATCCAGATATGTTGAACAAACTACAGTTGGTTAAATTCACAGCGTGTGAGTCTAGTCATATAAAAGATAATACATAAGCATGTTAGCCAAAATCAGACAGACTGTATTATGGCTGAACATAGCTTTCTATCCTGTAACTCCCATCATATAGAAGCTTCTAATATTATAAAACTAAGAGACAAAGTTCTTCCTTTTTTACGCTATGGTCTCCCCCCCCCATACATTCCTTTTTTCCTAAAATAGAAAGCTGCAAATATTAATGTTTTTTTTTCTTACAGGGTAGTTGGTCTAGTCTCACTATTTTAGCTGCCCATTTTTATGCATTTCCAACTCTTGAATTTTTGAGAAGGTTCAGAATGCATGGTGTATAAGGTAAGATAAATTTGGATAGGAAAAATGTTAAATTTATGAATATGAAAATTAGTTTGGAGTGATCCAGGGATACCATGAATATCTCTGTTAGGTTTGCTAATTTAGAGTTGCTGAAACTGAAATTTTATAGTAATAATTGCAGACTGTTTTAAAGATAAACTATATGGTTTAGTGTTACAATAACATAAAGATACCACATAACAATAACATAAAGATACCACATAGCAATTCAGTAATGTTGTAAACATTATTGTAAATAAACAGTGCTAAATAAGGCTTTTCTGTTAAAAGAATAACAAATGATTATAAAACAGAATGGTCATTTCTATACAGCAAATTACTACAATTGTTTTGTGAACAGCAACATTGATTTATTTTTAGTTGTATTCTTGTTAAACCCAGTTTTATATTAAATTTAGCTTTAGAAAAATTAAATTCAGTTTATTAGAGACTGCCACTGGAGGGAGTAAGCTGCACATTAAAGGCCTTTATTTTTTTTAATTAGTAAAAGATGTTCAAATAGAATTTTGGTCTTATTATATTAGATATTTTATAATTGTGTGACTGTTGCTAAAGTTGCATCTGTTTCTAATATAGTAACTTAAACTAAAAGTTTTGTTTCCAAGTACTTAAACTTCCTTAATTTATATATTTATGAAGGCTGGCACAGGAATAAATCTGTTAAAATATGTCAAGTTATAGCTTGAATTTCATTCAGTTAAAAGTGTAGAAAAACAATTATATATCAGATCAAAATACATTGATTAGTAAAGTTTCTGCATAAGTAATTTCCAGTATTTTCATCGCGCTCATTCAAGTAATATATTAGTGGCCGTTATAGGTTCATTTTCTTCCCGCTTCTCTCCACAGTTCTTACTTATTTTCCTTTACATTTCTGGTATTGCTCCTGATTTTAATTAAAAGTTAGGGTAGTGACATCTTTTGAAATTTGTTGTGTTATGCGTTAGTATATGATGACAAGTGAGAACTGTTTTTAGAAAATGCTTTAGCTGTTTTTCTTTTTCCCAAAGTACTAAGCATACTTAATGTGGTTTGAATGTAACAGTAGCATGAATGTTAAAGTTGAAAAATTATTGTTACTATATTGGAATTCTGTATATATTAACCATGCATTCTATCTAAATTTAAATGGAAAACATGGGGCCATTTTTAAACTCTTAATATAAATCCTAAGAAGACCTAAAGATCTTGGTTTAGTTTTTTTCTATGTAGACATTTTAAAAAATATACAGGACGTCTGAAATTATTGAATTTGATGAGTGTAATATCAATTATATTTTTAATTTGCAGTTATATAAATCCTGAAATTTAGATACTTAAAAAAAAAAAAAAA